AAGACAAAGTTATGTGTAAAATGGGAACCGTCAACTTTTTAAGTATAATGATGAAAAGCCTATAATAAAGGCAGCTATCACTTCGTAAATAGTGAGAATGAAGAAGTCTCGAAGAAAGGAATGAATAGCGGAATCAATTATAAAATGACACATGGACAGAGCATTAAATGGAAAAGACTGCTGAGACGTTAGTACTGTCATGAGCATTAATTGTGGCAAAAGTTCTTTTTACATGAAGATCCACTTCCCAATTATTTAATTGATAAAAAAAATGGAAAGTGGGGGGACTATCTGTATTGGAAAAAAACTGAATTTATATTAAAAATGATGTGGCATGACACGTGGATTAGTTGAATGGTCAAAGAACAGCAATTGACTAAGAGGCACGGTGAAAACAGCCACGGGAAGAAGAATTTAAATAAGCACGAGACGACGTATAGATACGAGTCTCGTACCAATTTAAATTATTTGCAGCCAACGGATTAGAATGCATTGAAAGCAAGGATCAGATGACAGAAAGGAGTCCAAATTCATTATTAAATGTCTGATACGTTATAAAGTTGGTATTTAATAGGAATGATTGTATAACGGCTTATTTAATGTCATTTATTGCTCATGATTATGTCATTAAAACTGATGCTTTATTCCTTTACCTAGAATGATCTATAAAAGGAAGAAGTATCACCATTTGTAGGGACACGAGATACTATTGAGAATACACTGAAATACTTATCTATTTACCCTCTGTCATTGTTCTCAAAAGTATTTTATTTTTTGTCTCTTGATTATCAGTAACCCGAATTTTTCTTTTAGCTTTGACCAAGGACTCAAATTTTTGGTTAAACAATAATCAAGCAAGAAACCGAAAAAAGGTCTAGTGTTGTAGTTTTTTTAAAATTGAATTAGAGTAACACACACTTGAAAAATACTTCAGAGATATGAAAAAGATTGGATATTTACAACAGATTTCAGGATTTGGCTTGGTGGGCGTCGATGAAATTATCAAGAAGATGGAACTTTTGGAGAAGTAAAAAAAGATTGGTTTTTTGGGACAGAATTGAGGATTTGACTTACAGGGTATGGATGAAATTGTCAAGAAAGAAGATGGAACTGGAAGTGTGTGCATGTTTAGTTAACAGGGAAAAATGATTGGAAGATGTATCCAGAGAAAATTTAGTGTAGATCTTTCTACCTATGTTAATACAAATGCTGGACTTCTTATCTTAAAATATGCTGTACTTGGCATATTTTTTATTTTTTTTATTTTTTTATTTTTTTTTACTTGGCTTATTACTAGCTACTGACTTTTTATTAATAAAAGTTTACCTTTACTGATCAATTAAAAAACACAGAAAAATAACCTAAAGCACATAAAGAACAAATTACAAAACAAAGCAAAGAACCAACTAGAAAACACAAACGAACAATATTTTTTGTTTTTTTGTTTTTTGTTTTTTGTTTTTTTATTTTTTATTTTTTACTTATTACTACTAGCTATTGAGTTTTTATTAATAAAAGTTTGCCTTTACTACTCAAAAAAAAGAAACAGAAAGCACATAAAGAACAGAGAAAAGAACCAACTAGAAAACACAAAGGAACAAAGTGCAAAACATGCAACACATACGGAAAGCACGACATAATCTTGAAACGAAAAGAACGAGACAGAAGACGATGGACAGTTAATATGAATCACAGAAACCACAAAAAGAAGGGGAACACGAACAAACACAAGAAACGAACAAGAAAAACCAAAGAAAGAACGAACTAAAAAATTAACAAGCAACATCTATGGAAAGAACACGAAAGCAAACAACGTCTAAGCCGCAAGAAGGGGGAATAAAATAGAAAGCTGAGAAAGAACGAAACAAAACCCATATAAAGAACGAAAACATAGACGAACATAGTGAAAAAACATGAAACAACTATGGAACAAAAATAAAAACTTATACTATGACATACTAGTAAAGATTAAAGAGAAGTTCAAGCTTAGTTTTAAGATGAGAAAGAGACCTGTGTTTGCCGTTGCTGCTACGAGCCCTGCACTCTGCTGCAGGTGGCTGCTCTAATGGCAGTCCCTTAGACGACTCCCAAGCAAATCTACTGAGTATGGGGCGAAAGTTGAGCCTTTTCCACATCTGAACAGCGGTCGGCTTTGGGTCATTTACCCCCCGCTTCAGAAACTCTTTCCGCAGTTTAGATTTGTTCGGAAAAACCTTGGTGATTTTGGTACCTGGCTTCGCAACAGAACGTAAATACAAAGCCTCCCCTTTTTCAGTGTAAACATCCCATTCTTCTTCACTGTGAACTTTGCTCTCGAAGACACCTTTCAAACAACAAGAATAAGCTGCCATCGTTGCCTGTCTAACATGCGGCAAAGGCACGAAAGAGAGTTAATTATAGGCGTAATTAACTATAGGGTAAATTATAGAGAATGACAAAATTGGTCCCTTACTTTTCCGTAGGTTAAAAGTGGTCTCTTTAATATATTCTTGATTGGTTTTAACCCTTTTAAGTTTGTCAAAAGTAGTGTTTGGTCTATACTAAATATTTAACAATTTGTGGTCGTTGAATTAACGAGAACAATTTTTTTTTTAAAAAAAAGATTTTAACATGAACTCACATTTATACGTGCAATTTGTCCTATTTTTAATCGATTTCCGGAGATCGAGCAGCTTTTTGGGTGCAATTGTTTGTTACTCCCTCTGTCCCAATTTGTTTGATGCAGTTAGGATTTTAAGAGTCAAATGAGTTTTTTTACTATGATTTTTTTGTATGCTTTATAATATTTTGAATTTTTAATTATTGTAACTTATAATACTTTCATATAGTTTCTAAATATGTAAATTTTATTTTAAAAATTAAAGATTATATGTCCAAATTCACGGTAAAAATTGAGAAGATTGACTCTCGAAATTCAAACTGCGACGAATAAATGGGGGTAGAAGGAGAATCTCTTATATGTTTCTGATATGTATTGCAATTTTTAGTGTTGCGACTTCTTGGTTTGATAACACTTTCCTGGTATTTCAATTTAAAAATTTTATAACTGTTTTTTGTTAAATATAACAGTCATATTTTGTTAAATATTTGATAAAGATCAAAAGTGCTTACTTTCTAAAAATATTTAATGGACCAAAAATGCTCAAGAATACATTAAAGGAACCATTTTAAACCTACTCCCAAATATAACGAGCCATTTGTGTCATTTTCTCAGTAAATTACTTTAGGAATATAGTCTTGTAAATTGTAATATGACTCAGATGCAGATACATACACCTAGGATATTTAAAATATAACACTTACACTCCTATGTTATAAGAAATTTACACAAATATTATATAACGGTATTATGTCTATTTGAAAATGAATTGTACACGTAAACACCTTATATAATGGAAATCATATACTACAACGAAACATTCATGTAACTACGCAATTCAATTTAAAACAAGCGGAATAATAGAAATCAAACTCGAATGAAACACTGTGAAGTTCTTATACATTTGTTATTGTATTTTTTTTTAAGAAAATACAAAATAGCTTACATGTTCAAATTGCAAAAAAAAATATATATATTGCAAGTATTTTTTTTTTTAGAACCAACTAAACATTTTATTACTCTTCCAGAAAGAGTGTGCAGATGATCTGAGGAGTTGTACATAGATATTAACTTCATTAATTTTTCCTGAAATATAGATAAAACTATCTTTACAAAGAGAGATGAAGCAAATGCAATTGGTAAGTGGATGCATAAGCCATTTAGCCATGATGCATGAAGTATCCAGGCTATACAAAAGATAGAAATCTGAATTAGCCACTAATCTAGCTAATTTGTCTGCAACTTAATTAATCTTCCTGAGAAGTAGTAATCAAGTATATTATTGACGTTCAATAATAAAATAAATAAAAAATAAAAAATTATGATAAATAATTTGCTCATATCAATAATTTTATTAATAGCAATCAATCAGACTTGAATATTTACAAATTTGAGAATCAAGTGCGTAATTTTTTTTGTAAATTATGAAGTGCAGGCAATAAAAGATAGCGCATGGAAAATAGAGGTAGATTTTGTAATAAATTCCTAAAAGTTGCCTATTTATACCCATATTGTGTGATAAATTCATTATATAATTATTCTATTAATGAACTTAAATTACATTATATTATAAGATATAATATTTTTAAAATTATGAATAAAATACCTACAAAAAATATCTGGATGATATAGAAAGGTATAATATTACATATATGGGGAATTGAAAATCTCAAGGGTAAGATAGACATCGCGGCGCAAAATTAAAAGATGCGAATAATAATTTTTCAAAGTTGATAGATGAGTTTGATTTTTTAAAACAAACTTGGAGGATAGAAATGATTTTCACCTATTTATAATACTACAAATCAAATCAAATTAAGCACAAAGCATGAAGAGGCAACCAAGATCTCAAATCAGAATCAGATATAGGTCAATTTCAACTAAAAATTAGCCCATTAATACTGAACATCTCATACATCAAAGCCTAAATTATGAATGAAGAGGTACTAAATCCTTAATCGCTGCCTCAAAGAACGATTCAAATGTACCTTCATGACAGGCCAGTTTGATAATCAATACATACTAAACAAATGTGCTGAGCTAGAGTGTCATGTGTTCGACCGAATTCAGTAGCTTTAGTTCGAATTCTGTATTTATCTTTAAAAAACCATTAAATATGTACAAATTACTATTAAGTTAGAACCCAATAATTTAATACGATTTGAATCTCGAACCTATAAGTTTGAAATTTTGGCTTCACCTCTGACTAAACAGTAAACACCACACACCATCACCATAGTTGTTTGCCAAACCTCCGCAAAGGGTTTGAAAGTTAAGTTTGACGACGCATATATGAAAATACCTGTACTAATTACCCTTTATGCCACAAGACTACTAGCTCGATCAATGCATAACAAGTACATTTTCAAACTTAATTATGTAATTTCAACACATGATTAGCTTATAGTAATAAAATTCTCATTGAAAGTGGAAGATGGAAATACAAAATTTCAGCAATAGAAAAACTGACGAGATTAAACTCTTCCGATTACATCTTATATATAGTAAATGATGAGAACTCCACAAGAAAATTTAATTTGAAAGGAAGATGCATGACACTTGATTTGTCATCTCTCTATCTTCAAAGTTGAGCTAGGCGACTAATATCAAAAGGGTATGCATCAGATGATTTTTGAGCTCTATATGATCTCCTCCCAACCACTACATTTGCAACTTCAGTTGGATGAAATGCATCCCAAAATAGATATTGATCTCTATTTCTGCATGGTCTTTGGAAAGGAAGACATGTAATCTGGCCATTATTTCTTCCTACCCCACAACATCCAGCATTTGTCACACTAAGTCCTGAAATAATTAATAGACTCAGATTAAACAAATCATAATGAAATATTTATAATTCCATCAAAGTGAATCTGAGATGAGAAAACTTACCAAAGGCAGAGGGATTATCAATTAAGTCTTGGAAAATCCCATAAGCATTAATGTAAATGAATTTTGCATCTGGGGTATTTCCATTCAAGTTATCAACAAGTGCCTTTAGTTTGTTGTTGAATAATTGGTTTGCTACATTGATTCTTTGTACACAGGTTCTCCCATCTGGGCTGTTCTGGGCCAATGCATTTGGGCTGCACCCTATTTGGCCCACTCCAATCAACGCAAACTTCCTTGCTCCATTGTTGTATAAAATCTATGACCACAAAACATACAATTATCAAATACTTACTATATTAATATTAGAAAGGGGGAGTAAATAAATATATGTGTATATAAAATACAACTTACCTTTAGTTGCTGAGTGTATTGTTGAATAAGAACGCTAGCATATTGTTCAGGAGTGAATTGTCTGCTAGTGGGGTAATAAAGAGGCATGAAATAATTGTTGAGATAGTCATTGCTGCCCAATCCAACAGAGTATATGCACTTGCTCAAATAATCTGCTGCTGCATTTTCATTTCCTAGTATTTGCACTACTTGTTGCACTGTGTTTCTGTAATTATTCACTTGTCCAGAAAAGCTTATCCTTCCTCCCTATGAAAATTTCATAATAAACAACAATTTTCAAACTGAACAAAAAATAAAAAAAATTGGCCGATCGAACGAAACTATTGCATTTGCTAGCCAAAAAGTATATAAAACATGTATATACAATACATATATACAAATATATA